ATGGATAAATCTGTGGTTTTTGACTCAAATTCCTGTGGTGTATGATGTCTCTACTAATGCCCAAGCACTCCACACAAGCAACTGAAGGCTCTCTTCCTAAGGAAACCGAGCTGAAATTGAATATTCTTTAGCTTGTGTATTTTGTTGTTTTCTCCCAAAGGGGAACTGGATCTCTCCAAAACAGCTTCCTGCAGAAAATTCCACATTTGCAGAAACTGTATTTGCCCACCCCAAAGAGCTGTGTCAATGGAGACCTCCTGGCCAGCTCTGGAGCCTGGTTATTTAAGGCTGAGTTTACACAGAGACATCAGTTATGCAGCCAGCTATTAGTGAAGTTGGCTGCAGAATTTAATCTTTTGCATAGTTCTTCTTTAATAGAAGCAGAGCCCTTGACAGACTTTATGGTTATTTGTGTTTTAGAGAGTCCCTGCACTTGCCTACATTTTTCCTGGGTGACCAAGGAATGATTTTCTCAATGCAATAGTCCTCTTATCTGATAATTGCCTTAAAATAACGTTAGGTGCCCTTATTGGAGCGGAGGGCTCAGCACGTGAGCAAGGCAGCTCGCTGGATTGTGGCGCGGGGCCCTGAATCGTGGCTCTCTGGGCCCTGCGCCCTCCTGCTGCCGCTCCCCGAATTCCTCAGCCATGGAATACCACAGCTATTCCTGTGCCTGTAAATTGGCTTGTCCCTGTAAGGCGATGCCGTTAATTGTGCCGCGCGAAGACAAGTTTACAGCGTGGAGTGGTGATGAAAGATACTCCCATTTGGGATGACGTGAGATCTCCCCGCTCGGCACTCCCACTGCACCCCAGTGAGTCCCGTGTAGCAGGAATTGGGTCGGAAGGAGGGAGCTCCGGGGCTGCAAGTCCGAGCTTGAGAAACAACCTCCGTCACTCCAGGCGGTTTAAGAAGTCCCTGCTGATGGTTGCCCAAGTTTTGAGCAACCTGTTTTGGGGTTTTTTTGTGCTGGGGCCGTGAAAGTTTCTGGCGGGGGAAATAAGATCCGCCTTCAGTACCTGCAAAGTAGTGGCTTGGGGCAGAATTAGTTCAAGATGTGCTGGCGAGGGATGAATGGAGCTAGCAGCGCAGGGGTCTCCAGCCAGCCTCAGCTCATGCGTTTGCTCGTGCCTCATCCGAGGAGGACATGGCAAGGAGGGGTCTTGGTGTCACCTCATGGTGCTGTCTGCTGGCGCCCAGAGGGTCCTCCCAGCCCTGGGGGTCGGAGATGTCTCTTTTTTCAGGAATGAACGAGAAAGCTCCAAGGGGAAATGGGAGGCGCGCGGCGAGGCCGCCGTTGCCTGAACAGAGCCAGCAGCTATCGTCAGGCCTGTAATTTTCTGAAGATCAAAGGCCCAGTTGAAAGCAGCTATTTAGCACCAAAGCGGGGTGTTTCGCTGTGCGTTTCCTGTACCAGCCTCGCGTCTTCCTGAAGAGAAGGCGGCCTGACCCGTCATATCTCCGAGGGCATCACCGGAGCTGGGCAGGGCAGGGTTGGTGCCGCTCCCAGCTGATGACTTCCCGCTCGGCGTTCCTGCCGCCGCTGACCTTTGCTGCCCAGAAGGAAAGCCAATAAACGCTCCCAGAAATGTAACCGCTGCCAGGCTGGAGCACGGGGCCAGGTTGTCCATGGGATACCGGCCAGATGCCGGAGCTGCGGGTGGCACCGGCCGTGGGGCTGCCGTCATGGCAAGGAAGGAAGCCCCAACCTCAGCTATGCGGGAGCTACTCCCGTTTAACAGAGAAAGTCGGGAACATCTTCAGCTCTTCCTAAATATAGGTTGTAATGAGCAGACTTTGGAAGTGGATGGTCTGGGGTGGATGCCAGGATGCCATCCTTTTTCTTAAGGAAAAATTCACGAATGCAGCTCATGAATGAGCTGTTGAAACAACAAGTGAAATGGCCTCCCTGGCCGCTGTGTGCGCACCGGGTCATTCCCGGGGCTGCTGCTCTATAAAGTCATTGGGCAAAAGTCATTGCAACACATGGCCTCCCTCTGCTCGCCCCTGCGCGGGGACCTGGAGCTGCATCCAGGCACCTGTGCTTCCCCTGGGGGCCAGGATCAGGCTCGATCTACATGGATTTCCAATGTAAAGTGAGCCAAAATCGATGGTGGCTTCTCTCTTGGCCCTTGCCATCTTTGTGCAAGCAAGAAGGCTAAATCTGTTGACTTAGGACACAAGAACTTCCCATCTCTGTCCATGTCACCAGGAAACAAAAGCGGCCTTCACTCTACACTGATGGTTTTGTTCCTTGCCTCCCGGGCCCTGCTGGGGACCAAATAACCACCTTGGGGCCTAATACCTGGGGACGCCTCCTCCTGGTGCCCAGGCTCCCACCTTGTGCTCCCCCGAGGTCTTCTCCACCATGACACACTCGTGCCCGTGCCCACCCCGTCTCAGCAGCCCCACGGTGCCTTGGCCTCCTCTCTGTGACCATCTCCCTTCCCATGCTCGCTGTGGTGCCCAACGAGACGGGCCCCACTGAAATTACCTGCAATAATCTTGGGGCTTTTTCTTTTCCTTGACCCTGCCTATGGAAGGCAGCTGCCAGTTAACAGCTGCAAAAACAGCCTGCGGTGCTAATGAGAGAAAATCTAATAGAGACCTCTTCCAAATTGTTTCCATGCTTTTTTTTTTTTTTTTTT